CATGTTACCAGACTTTATCAGTTCCAAATAGTTCTCGCATGTCAGCGAGTGTTGTTTCAGCAAATATCTAGAATAACTTCTCACCTCAAAATACATATGGTTGAAAAGGTTGAATCTGCGTCCTGCTCACCATTACGCTATGTGCCCACACAACACGTCGCGCCATTGCTATAAGTTGTAATATAACCCTACTACGCTTCCGCCAGATGCCGCTGATGTCACGGTAATCCGGTTGTGGAAGGGATTTACGTACATTTGCGTCACATTTGTTTGTACGAATTAAAAAAAAAGAAAAAGAAAAAGAAGAAGAAGAAAACGGTGGACGTAACATCTAGTAACAAAGGTGAACATCAGAGGGAGACTCCAGATTTCTTGTTCAGAAGTAAACCACCTTGGAAAAATTCTGGTATTCCAGTCTTAATCAGTCTCTATTTGCTACACTTTATTCCCAGCTGAATCATCCAGCGATTTGAGAGGCTTGTTCAGCCTTTACGTTTCGACGCTGTCAGTATCGGAACTATACAGCGTCGTATGATGAGACGATTAATGAATGTGGAGCATTTGGTGGAATGAGGACTGGCAAGGGACACTGAAGAACACGGAGAAATCCGACCCCAGTGACACTTTGTCGACCAAAAATCCCACATGACCTGACCTGGTATCGAACCAGATCCTCCTGAGTGTGGAGCCGGCGACTAATTGCCTGAACTATGGCACATTCTGGAAAGAGACGTGTAAACAGACTCTTATGTACAGATTTACTACTCGTGAGTCTTCAAGAATGATGCACCCCTACACAACACAATATATACAACATCGTTATCACGACATCTCATTGCTGTTTTCACGTAGCTGGAAAACAGATATGTCCAAAAACAAACACTGAACGTTACTGTCTATACTTTCAACCCAATTTCCAGCTCAGTGCATAATTTATGCCATAGGCTTTCCGGGATGTGAATTTGAATAGAATTTTTCTTGAGGCACGGATGGTTGGCGGCGTGTATTGGGGAGTATTACAAAACCCTGTCCACAAAATTCAACTTAGGCTAAAATCAAATAACAATAACAGACACTTTACATGAAGACCCAAAATGTGATTTAGAATCTCGCTTTGTCTTCTATTCCATTGACGAGAGCACCCTGGGGTTGCCACGGGAGAGAAGCCATGGTTATCTCATTCATTAATTTCAATGATGAAATGTGTTGCTATACGTGCATTTCCTACATTGCTCTTTTTGCACATGTGTGTGATTTCCTGTTACAGGCCTTGCCACCACTTGCCTCGTGTTCAGAATGTAAAGCGGTATACAGCCAGTGCTTAATTTGTAAACGTATTAAAGGTCTACATCTCAACCTGTTTTGTTCACAGCTCGTCAAATTTCTCATTATAATTGAATAGGGGCACGCGGTAGCGTAGTTGGCTGAGGGGCTGTGCTACAAGCCGGAAGATCGCGGGTTCAAGTCCCGATGAGTTCACTGGATTTCTTCAATTTACCTAATCCTTCCAGCCGCACTATGGCCCTGGGGTTGACTCAGCCTCTAACAGAAATGAGTATCAGGAATTAATTAAATAATTCTCCTGGGGAGTAAAGCGCGGCCGGCGCGTAAGGCTGACAACCTTACCGCCATCTTTGAGCCGATTGTCTAGATAATGTGGGACCCCTAATGTATCACAACCCTATGGGCCTTCATGGCCTGTTACAGGGATAGCTTTACTTTACTTAATTGAATTGAATAACTCACAGACTGGTTAACATTAATATAGTTGCTTGTATTGAAGTAGCAAAAAAGCCTTAAATGACTCAACCGGTGTGACCTCTGTTTCAGGTATCATAGGAAATAGAAATCAATTTAACTTTTTACTTAACTTGAACTGACTTCAATGACAACTAAAAAACGCGAACGGTTGCCAAACTCTTAATTTAATTAGGACATCTAAAAACACGTTTTACTGTGGGCATTTTTCTTCTGCTGCCTACAAATATAAAAATTAAAAGCCCCCCCCTTGCCAAATTAAGAAATTATAATTGTGTCCGTTGTATTTTTTCCCCCTTGGCACTACAGCTCCAGTGGGCCTAGGCCTACCTCCATGAACTTCTCCGTTCACTTCGGTTTTTCTAGATCTTACACATTCGGTAGGACTCCTTGGGCGGGTGATCAGCTCGTCGCAAGGCCTCTACCTGTACACAAACATAAAAAAACGCCCTTTGTATTTTACTGGCACTAAATTAGATGTTTTCCTTTAAGAGAACGCATGGACTGAAGGTGTTTCAGACTAGATGCTCAGGAGAATGTCTGGAGCCACAAAGAAGATATATCGGAGGACTAGAGGGAGTTACATAATGCTGAGCTTCATAATTTGTACCGTCTTGCATTATTACGTTTTAACGAAGAAAATTTATATTAAAATGGATCTTAAAGAAATCAGACGCGAGGGTGTAGACTGGATTAAACTTACTCAGAATACGAGACAATTGGTGGGGTATCGTGAACATGATAACTAAATTTCGGTTTACCTTAAAAAGGTTTTTTTTAATAGCTGAGCAACTCACACAACGACAGCTGCAGAAACTCAAGTAACCTATGACGCAATTTTCTTTACTGCCATCCAGTCACATTGATGAAGGGGTGGTGGCACTTGAGGCCTACTCTTGTATTACACTACGGTTTCCTCTGGTCTATGTCAGGATACCCAAAGTGCTTGCTGCTAGAGAAGGTCATCACTATCATCAACACGAATGTGAACAAAATGGGTAGACGACTGGAGGGGCAAATATGGAATTATGTTGGAGGTGGAAATATGGAGGGGGTATGTTCATGGGAATTCCTTCCGTGGTTGCAAATCAGATTGCGTCTACTGAACATGAAGCTACATGAAATCAAGCAACTTAAAAAAAAACTCCGTGGTTTTAGTCCGCAAGCGAACTATACCGACCGAACGACCGCCGCTTGTCGGCGAAATTAGTGCCAACTTTAGCGGATAGATGGTGTCGCGTGGTCAGCGCAACGGATCTGCACGGCCCTTAATTTCGGTTTTCTAGACTGGAGCCGCTATTTCTTTGAAATAGCTCCTCAATTATCCTCACGAGGCTGAGTGAACCCCGTTCCAGACCCATTACTTCTCAAAAATAATGGTAACAGCGGTGTTCCCAAACGGTCACCCATCCAGGTACTCACCACGTAGCTTAACTTTGGTGATCGGACGAAAAGAGGTGTTTTCAACATGGTATGGCCGTTGGCAACTTCGCTTGTGATAATGAGACTTCGACAAGAAGAAAAAATATATACAGCATCCTCCGTATTGCAGGGGGAGGAGGAAGAAAGGTGGGATTTACTGAATAAAAAATTATCGTTTAATATAGTCTCTGTTCAAGTCTTTACATTTTCAATAGACCCAATTGAAATGAGAAGATAGTGCCTAACAATTCTGCTGCATTTTTAACAAACCTGGATTTGGGAACAATCTCACATCTTTCATTAATTCTAGCATGTAGGCCTAATACCTCTTTAGTGAAATTTTAAGAAAGCCGCTAATTCTAGGACATCCGCCATATCCTGCCGAGAAAGGTAAAAACGGTTGTGAGATAGACACAAAAATGGTGCATTCGGGTAATGTCTGCATACATCTCTCTACACAGTAATATCGCCATGCTGCTATGTGACATTAAGGTATCACAGAACACCGACAGAGGGCTACACATTCTGGCTGCAAGTAGTACTAATTCTGTCGCTAGTGGGCTCTGTCAACAGTGGTCTCTCTGTTGTCAGCTGTTGTCATTTTCATAAAAATATTATTTTGGAAGAGCTTCCTGAAACTTGTATTTTGTATTTTTTTCAGTACCGGATATTACAATTGGATTGAGAGTATAGAAAGCGTATTGAGCACTCGAAGTGGTACTACCAGTATATACGTATATACATGGGTCTATATATGCATACATACATGTATTTCAAATTCTTATTCGGATAAAATTCCGTGTTGCTACTTCAATTTGCCCTATGTTATACTATCAAAAAAGTACAATAGAAAGACTCAGAGAACACCGCTTCCCAGTTAGTCCATTAATCCTTGTTAGGAATCTGTTACCTAGCAACGGGCATCTTTACAGAGTCATTACTTAGCAACGGGTCAGCGGCCTCCGTAGTCTAGGGGTAACGTTCCCACCTCATCACTCAAGGTACGCGGGTTCAAACCCGGCGGAGGTCGTGGAATTTTTAAGGGCGGAAAAATTCAGGGAACAAGTCCTCCGGGAGGGACTTTAAGCCGTTGGTCCCGTGTCGTAGATTTATGGGGCGTAAAAGATCCTCATGTCTCTAGGAGACCTCTGAGCAAACTTAGGCAACACATTTCCCGCCCAAGTAGTTTCCAATGCCTCTGGTAGAAGGGGGAAATATGAGGTACCGATGGCCGACCTCGTTGGCTGAAAGGGCTGATAGCACGCACCAGTACCGGTAGGGTATGGAGACAGTAGAAATTAAATGGGGACGCACAATGGACCAAGAACTGGTCTAAGTGCATGGGGAAACCCACCCCCTCTAATAACAATAATGATAATAATAATAATAATAGCCACGGGTCTACATGTTACAAGATCAATATCTGTGGGAATACAATAAATCTTGGAAACAAGAGAACGGCCGAGGGGTCGGAGTTCGAGTTCCGGTAGGAACAAGATTTTTCTCCACTCCACGTCATCCAGACAGGTTCTGGAGCCCACCCAGCCTCCTATACAATGGGTACCGGGGGCTTCTTTCCCAGGGATAAAGCGGCCGGGGCGAGAAGTTGACCACTCACACCAATCTAATGCCGAGGTCCAGAAAGTGTGAATGTATATATCCACTCCCACATAAATCTTTATATATTGGTGTTTAATTTGTTACGCACAGGTAGAACTTTGCCTTTTTTAGCAGTCTGAAGAACGTCTGTTTTCGACTCCTGCCTTCATTTCGAACATCCGAAACTCAGCTTGTATATATGCTGAAATGGTAATACTTACGTTGAAACTGCGTGTGTCACTATCTTCCGATGATTACTGATCTAATGTTTGTGCAGTTTATTCCTGCAGAATGTTGCCTACACACGTGTACACCACCACACCTACTGCCTGTCTACTAGGATGTCACTACTCAGGACACTGAAGGCATTGTCACTGCAGTGTAGCACAATACAACCACACTTCATGTCGTGTGTTGCATAGATATAGACCTTGTTAACGCAGTATACCAGGGGTGCCCACATGAAAGCCTGAGAGTCGTAACGGTATTAGATCTGGCCCCTCCCTTCCAAGCCATTTTATCCAATTTACAATCTATCTAAAAACAGACAACAGCACAAGATATATCCTGAATTGGGGTAAATGCTTGCTTTGGAAGTGAGAATTTTCTTTGTTATTTGGTGTAGGCCTAGCTGCCGTACCTCGCTGACTTTAGTGCTAAATTGTTTACGGTTCACATTTTAGCACTAAAGTCAGCAAGGTACGGCGCATATGGTGCGCATATATATATAGATGCGCACCATATCTATCTATCAATGCCTCTACAGCCCTATGTTGGATCTTGCCCGCTTTTTCAATTCCTTGATCTTAATCGGTAGGACTCCTTGGATGGGGGATCAGCCTGTCGCAAGGCCGCTACCTGCACACAGGACAGCACGAACACAAAATAAACGCACACAGTCATCCATGCCTCGAGTGGGAATAGAACCCACGATCTCAGTATCTCAGTATCTCAGTGTTTGAGCGGGCCGAAGACATTTCATGCCTTAGACCGCATCACCACTGTGATTGTATGTGCACCATATAGTACATAACATTTTCTGAAACTTCGTTTCACCATTTCGAAAGATGTATCAAACAAAAGCTGTAAAGATTATTGTCTTCTGGGATTCATGACATGTGGGTTAGCACATATGGTGACAGGTTAATGAGGAACTGAAAATGACTTAAATCAGCCGTAACCTAAACGCGGAAGTATCTCGGCATATTCTTAGAGAGACTGAGAAAAACAACGAACCTCAGTCAGGATAGTCTGTGTTTTGGCCGGAAATCGAACTCAGCGCCTTCCCAATATGAGACTAAAGCGTTACTGCTACGCCACCCTTTCGGTGTTATACACGCGTGTGATGGTGCACATGTACGATATATTGTTATTTAATTTATGATTAACCCTGCATCACTGATTTTCATGCATACAGTTGTTCTAATGTAACAAGTTCATATTATTAAAGTCTACAACATTTATTCAAGAAATGTGCGCATTAATTGCTTTACGTAACGCGGACCTTGAAACGAATTCAAGTGAGTGCAGCTAAGTAGAGGTTAATTTAATGTCTTTAGAAAAACGAAATTAGCTGCTGTGGGGATTCGTTTTGCTGGCCACGCGACACCCTCTATCGGCTAAAGTTGGCACTAACTTCGCTGACAATCGTCGGTCGCTCAGTCGGTCTATATAGTTCGCTTGCGGACTCAAGCCATGGAGTTTGGTTTTAGTTTTTTTTAGTAAAATGACCTTTAAAACATACAAAATATGTCAAAATCAAAATAACTCGACTAAATTTGGTTCCTTTATAGACGTATCTTACCGAATTCTATCGAACTAAGTTAGATAATTCGTGCTCTGACACTCTGAAACAAGCCTCTATGACATTCCATATTAAGAAGAATTAAAATAGTTTCCACGTGTTTCTGTGCATGCCCCCGTTATTTACTGATGCTATTCCAACTAAAGTTTGCATAGCTTCGAATTATATATGATCATTAAATATGGCGAATTCGACGAGATTTAAAAAAGCAGGAAGATCTTCGCTTGGAACATCGATTCTCTACTAGTTTCAAATCATATACGAGTATGCTCTCAATACGAAACAGAACTCATATCTTTGCATTTCAAATCTTCAGGTCTCAAAATATATTGAAGGTGGGTCAAGTGGCGAAGCTCTGTAAATCTCTTTATTCATATTCTTCCAAAAAAAAAAGTCACGTTATTCGCAATGCCCGGAGCGTCTGCTATAAATTAACTAATAATGCACAATCTATTGGATGTATGCCTTTCGTTTAGAAGCAGCGGTACTGTATCTACAGCTGTAATGTTAGTATTATTTCTCAAGCATTCATGTGAGACAGATCGTCTGTACACACCTTTTCTCATGTTTTGCATTGTTTCGTTAGTGAGACTTACTGCAAGAGTAATGTACGAATAAACAGATCAACACCTACACACATATTCTGACAGATGTATTTCAGAACAACAACGCCGTCTTTAATTACAACATTAATTAGTCCTATTATGTACGTTCCCTTTATTTATCATTTAAAAGTAGCTCAAATATTCCTTATTTTCGTTTCATTGCGTTGTTACTAGCACTGCGGTTCTTTATGGCAAGGTAACACAGATATTAATGATTAATCTGGAGGAATATGTCCACTATTAACATATATTTTGGCACTGTTTCAGAGGAGCTAGAGGAGAAGTTTGAAAAATTTGTCAGGATAGCCGGGCGCCGATCAATGTTCAGGTGGAATATTTTCGGCATGGTGAAGCGGCCGCGTTGCCTCTGAGCAAGTTGGCTGGTTTTGTCTTCATGACACGATGTTTAAGTAACTTGATTTTGAAATTCAAATCAATGTACTGGATCAATGTATAGATACTTTCGTCGTTGGTCTTCGACTAGCCTGCTATTGACTACCCACTGTATTATTATTATTATTATTAGTGGGGTGAGACTGAGTCCACTTGGTACTGCGGCGGCTGTTTGGCCTACTGCACCAGATCCAGATGATGGATGATGGTGATTGTTGAGCAATTGGTGGAATGAAGATTGGCAGGGGAAAGCGAAGTACGACTGCCCACTGTAAAGGAACTGCTTACAGTTTTGCATGGATTTTTATTATAAGCTCACTCACTCACTCACTCATGAACTGAGCCCTTCTTGAGAAGCCGGCAATTGTACAGCTACTCAAGAGCTTCCCAGCCTTTTATGGAACCCAAAGGTTCATCACTATCTTCACAAGAGCCTTCCACTGGTCCCTATCCTGAGCCAGGTCGATTCAGTCCATACCATCCCATCCTATCTCTCAAAGATCTATTTTGATATTGTCCACTCACCTACGTCTTAGCCTTCCTAGTGGTCTCTTTCCTCCTGGCTCTCCTACCAATTCCCTAAATGCAGTCTTCTTCTCACCTATTCGTGCTACATGCCCTGTCCATCTCATCCTCCTTGACTTGACCATTCTAATTATATTTGGAGAAGAGTACAAGTTATGTAGCTCCTCACTGTGAAGTTTTCTCCAACCTCCCGTCACTTAATCCTTCTTCTGTCCAAATATTGTCCTGAACACCCTGTTCAATTTAAGGTAAAGAGAGAAGGACAATGGCTATGAAAGGAAAGACGAATATGAAAAGTTAAATAGTGATGAATAGTCACACAATTGAACAAGAAAATAGTTTTAATTGCTTAGGATAAACAATTACAGTAACAGACAACGGATTTATAAATAAAAACGAATAGATTTAACCAAATATGCATCACAGTAAGAAGAACGTTGTTGAGTAACAGGAAAGAAGAGAAACACTGATTCAATTTTTTAAAGCTTTGGCTTTACTTACATAAAACACTCCGTGATTTTAGTCCGCAAGTGAACTATACCGACCGAGCGACCGCCGCTTGTCGGAGAAGTTTAGTGCCAACTCTGCAGGTAGTGGGTGTCGCGTGGTCAGCGCAACGTTAATTTCGGTTTTCCGTAGCCAGGAACACTGACCACTAGACAACAGAGGCGGTCACTTTACCTACCCGAAATTTGAAATATAAGAAACACGAAGCAGAAATTTAAACTACAGAAATAAAATTTTCTCATGAGTGTAGCAGGCTACACAAAAAAGAACAAAACAAAATATACTAAAAGTATGGAAGGGCTGAACGCTTTCAATCTAAATAATAAAATACTAAAATTAAGGTCACATTGGAAGTATCGGGTTATAAGTGTAGCAAACAGTTTATTTCCGAAGAAAATGTTGAAGCACAACCTCCAAAAAATGACTAAACTTAGGGCACCCACAGTTAAAACGGAGAGACGAACATATTCTTCAAGAGACCGGAAAAATCCAAGGAGGGCCTAATTCATGAAGAAGAAGAACAACAACAAGAACAAGAAAAAGATGGCGCTGGTGCTGATCATGACGAATGTAAGCTTCATTATATAATTTCCCTGTAGGAGTTCCACTGTGTGCATGTGCACGGAATTTTGATGGGGGTTTTCTATATTAATTGGCATTGGTTTTCAACAAGCGATACACTCTAAGTATTGCTGCATTGTTTTGGGGGGAAATATTCTGTGACTTTTAGTTTAAAATTTCCGGCTTCTAGATGCGATTTTCTGCAAGAATTTGCACTACTTACTTCTCAAAGAGCAACACGTCACCAATCAGACAGGTGTAATCTCAAATTCAACTCTGTTAAGAGGGTTGTCGTCATCCTCCATAGTCTTCTCAATCCAAAAGGAACTACGTGCTATTTTGCACGGACTTCCAATAGTTCTTAGCTAAGATATGCACTTCGCGTGTTTAATAATTTTATGAGGCCTGCCTTCCTTCCCTTTATCCATTCTGTATCAACACAATGTGTTATGTGTCTTTTGGTTTTCAAGGTTAAGTTTGCAGTGTCGTTTCCTCATTTCAGTTATGTAAACGTAAAAAGAGGTAAACCTATCCCTCGCTTCTGTGGTCTAGTGGTCAGAGTTTCTGGCTACAGATCCAGAGGTCCCGGGTTCGATTCCCGGCGCTACCAGATTTTCTGAGAAGCAGTAGGTCTGGAACGGGGTCCACTCAGCCTCGTGAGGATAACTGAGGACCTACTTGAATGGAAAAGTAGCGGCTCCGTTGTAGAAAACCAAAATTAACTGCCGTGGGGATTCGTTGCGCTGACTACGCGACACCCTCTCTCCGCTAAAGTTGACACTAACTTCGCCGACAAAAGGCGGTCTCTCGGTCAGTATAGTTCGCTTGCGGACTAAAGCCACGGAGTTTTATCCCTGTATCAGGCAGTGGAGGCCCATAGGGTTGTGAGATGTCGAGGCTTCCATATTTTCTAGACAATCGGCTCACAGATGGCGGTGAGGTTATCAACCTTATGCGCCGTCC